GCCGGAAAGGGTACTGGGGTTGCAGAGGGGAACCGCCCCTCAGCACTCACCGGTGGTGCGGCTGGGAGCCAGGGGAGCGGAGCAGGCTGGGGCCGGGTCACTCTACTTACCAGTGAGTGCAGGCCTGACTGCTTCTGGAGTCTTCAGGGGAGTGGGGGTGGGGCTGGGGTGGGAAGAGGCGGGGTTGGGGCTGGGGCGGAGCAGGAGCGGGGGCCCTGGGGAAGAGGCGGAGTATTTAATCAGCACTACAGGACAAGAATGCATCGTCCTGGTCTTTGTTCTGCAGAGTGCTGTGCTCATTAGCAGTACTGCTTAATAATAAATAATAATAATTAGGGGGAGGCAGTGTGGTCTAATGCATAGGCAGGGGCTGCACTGGGGGGGGGGTGTTTCAGGGGCTGTAGCCACCCCAAAAAGTGCCTTAGTTCCCCTGTAGCAGCTGCTGGTCTCCAGCTGCCCAGCTCTGAAGGCAGAGTGGAGAGAGCAGTGGCTGCTGGCCAGGCGCCCAGCTCCAGCAGCAGCAGAGAAGTAAGCCTGAGTGAGGGACCCGGGGGCCTGACAGCAGCCCCTGGCCGTGTCCTCGCTCGCCAGGGCGCACTGCCCAGGGCAGGTGGAGGGCTCAGGGCTCCCCTCAGCAGACCAGACTGACCTGCTCCAGCCCAGGGTCCTGGGCCCCAGCCCCACAGTCACTGCTCCCCAAGGACTCTTCTGACCCTGGAGTCAGATCCCCCCACGTGGGCAGCTCTTACTGGCTGAACAACCAGCGCCCCACACTGCCCGATTCCTGCCTCTGACCTGGCCAGGAGGCAGGGCCAACGAGAGGGGCGGGGCCTTGTGGCAAGGGGGGGCACAGCCCCCCAATTTTCTGTCTGGCCCCCCACAGCCCCCACACCAGGAACAGGCTGGTGGCGCCCCGGTGCATAGGGACTATGTAGACTCCCCTTTGTGTCTTTCTTCTCTCACTCTTTGTTTAGACAGTGAGCTCCTCAGGCAGGGACGGTCTCTTCCAGTATGTACGTACCGGGACTAAAACAGTGGGGCTCTACTGGTGGTTGAGGACTCTAGGTGCAATGGGAATAAATAATAATGTGAAATGTCCTTTCCTTCCATTTCAGACTTTCTTCCTCACCTCATTTCCTTTTTCTTTGTCTATTTTACTTCTCCTTTCCTTAGACCCCTACATCTTTCTATCCCTCTCCACTGCTTTGCACACACTCTCTTTCCCTCTCTCCCATCCTCTCTTTTCCACTCCCAGCTCTCTCTTTTCCTCTGTCTTCTCCCCTTCCACATTCCTTTTGTCTCATGTCTCCATCTCTATCTCCCTTCTTTGACACCCCCGCCCCCGAGTCTCTGTTTGGCCCATTGCTGTTGAGATTTGCCTCCCGGAAGCAGACGTTCCACCGTGGGGCCCAATTCCCTGCATCTGGGTTTCTCTCTAGATCCCTAGGAGCCAGCCAGTGCTCTCTCGCTGGCACTTAGGGAGAGGCCCCCTGGAGCCCGTAGGGCAGGCTGGAGCCAGTGGGGCAGGCCGGCTAACAGTGCCAGTAGGGCCTGTGCAAACTGCCCAGTCTGAGCCCTCCACACTCACTGCTCTGAACTTCATGCCGTGACCTTCAGCAGAGAGTTCCTGCTCATGCACTTGGCTTCCTTGTAGAGAAATGGAAACATTCTGCACTGGATCATTTGCAAACAATTTTGTTTGATGTAATTCTTCCTCCATTGCAATAATTTCAAATAGTGACACTGAACTTTGTGTTTCAGGAGCTGCAGAAAATACTGCTGCTGTCTTTGTGGTGAATCAGACACCCCCTTCTATCCGTGCAATGGAAGGGTCAGAGTTCACCATCGAGTGTACATTCAACACAAGCAATAACTCTATCAAGTGGTTTGGTGATTGGAGTAAAACCAGAAACAATGTAACAGCAAAGGTGAACAATGTAATAGATCGAACCATATTATCAGCAGATACAGAAAAGAGGTCTCTTTCCCTCACTGTGAAGAAAGCCGATGTCACTGATTCTGGAACCTACGTATGTGGGGTTGGGAGCAAATATGGGACATCTCCTGGGACTGGAACCCAAGTGACCATCGATGGTAAATACCAGCATTTCCTTCTCTGTTCTACAAAACCCTTCCAGGGGAGCTCAGGACACTGGCCTGGTTCCAGAGAGCTGGGGCAGGTGGTGCTGGGGGAGGTGGAGCAGCACAAAATGTAAAGGGCAGAGCTGTGGGCAAAACTGGGGGACATTCTGTGGTACGTACAATGGTCCTGATCCTGCATTCCACTGATTTCTGTGGGGGTTTTGGCTGCACAAGGAATGCAGGGTCAAGCCCCAGATATTCAAAAACTGTTTTGAGATGGGGCGTGAGGGGAGGTTTCTAATTGACTAAGCCTGTGAGCCCTTACACGCAACTTGAGAGACTAGGTGGGTGAGGGAATATCTTCTATTGGACCAACTTCTGTCGGCGAGAGAGACAAGCTTTCAAGCTTATGCAGAGCTCTTCTTCAGCTCCTGGAAACATAGAACTGGTCTACACTACAGATCTATGTCGGCATAACTACGTTGCTCAGGGGTGTGAAAAATCCACACCCCTGAGCGACGTAGTTAGTTACACCGACCGAACCTCCTGTGTCAACAGTGGTGCAGCTGGGCTGATGCAGTGTTTTCAGTAGAGACGTGCCCTTACTCAGAGTGTCACAGTAAATACAAGGTGGAAGGGCTGGTTTAGCATAAGCAGTTAACACATATTTCAAGGGACCATTCAAGGCAGGGTGGCCCGTTAACACTTCTGCAGTCATAGGACAAAAAGGGAGGTTAGGGGGTTACAGATTGTTGTAATAAGCCATAAATCCAGTGTCTGTTCAGTCCATGATTTTTAGTGTCTAGCAGAGTTATGAATTTAAGCTCCCAGGCTCATCTTTTGAAACTGTTGTGCAGGCTTCCTTTGAGGATGAGGACCACTCTGTATCTGACCTGTGAGACGTGTTCCCCACAGGAGACAGGGTGGTTTTGGCTTGTATCATTTTCCTGTGTGAGTTCATTCAAGAGCATAGTGATTGTCTGGTTTCACCCACACAGCTGTTATTGGGGCATTTAGTGTGCTGGATGAGGTACCCCACATGTTGTGATAGGCTTGTGTAGGATCCGTGGATCTTGAAAGGTGAGTTGTGGGGTCTGTTGATCATTGTAGCAGTGGAGATATGTCTGCAGATTTTGCATCTGTTGTTCTGGCAGGATCTGGTGCTGCTTTGAGTTGGTGTGTCCTGGTCTGTGGGCAGCTTGCTTCTGATGATGCCCTTGGAGAGGCTGGGGGGTTGTTTGAAGGTCAGAAGTGGGGGTTCAGGGAAGACTTGTTTCAGGATGTGGTCCCCATCGAGTATGGGTTATAATTGTTTGATGATACCCTGTAGGGGTTCCAGTGTAGTGTGGTAGGTAGCAACTGGTGTGCAGTCAGAGGAGGTTTTATTTCTGTATTCAAGCATGTTCTCTCAGGCTAGGTCTACACTACAGCGGGGGGTCGTGAATAGCGTAGCTGAAGTTGCGTATTTTAGGTCGACTTACCTGGCTGTGAGGACGGCGGCGAGTCGACCGCTGCCGCGCCACCGTCGACTCCGCTTCCGCCTCTTGCTGCGGTGGATTTCTGGAGTCAACGGCAGAGTGATCAGGGATCGATTTTATTGCGTCTTCACTAGACGCGATAAGTCGATCCCCAATAGATCGATTGCTACCCGCCGATCCGGTGGGTAGTGAAGACGTGCCCTCAGGGTATTTGGACAGCCCATTCTATGATGCAATCTACTTCTCTAGTAGAATGTCCTTGTTTGGTGCAGGCGGTTTTGAGTGTGTTAAGGTGTGTATTCCAGACTGTCTCCTAGGAGCGTATTCTGTGCTATCTGAATGCCTGGCAGTAGATTACAGATTTCTTGGTTGTTTGGGGGTGGTTACTGGGTTTATGAAGGTTGGTGTGGTGATCTGTGGGTTTCTTGTCTAGGGTTGTCTGTGGGGTTCCATTTTTGAAGCTGATGGTGGTGTCCAGGAAGTTGATGCTAGTGTGGGAGTGTTCCCCAGAGAGTTTAATGGCTGGCTGGGTGGGTGGTGGTTGTTGAAGTTGGGGTGGAAATCCACGAATGTGGAGTCAAATCTGTAGTAGATTTGGTGAATCAGTTCTCGTCAGCGCATTGGCATCAGTCTAAGCTAAGTTTTGCCAGAACATTTGCAATCAGCTCTACTGTACATGGACATAGTGAGAGAGCCCCTGAGCCAAAGAATTTACACTCTAAACAGACAAGACAGACAAAAGGGGGGAAATCGGGCAGACGTCCAAACAGTAGATTGGGAAGTGAGACACAGAGAGACTAAAGGACAAAATCCACACAGGGCTTTAGGCCCTTAAATCCAACATCTGGGGGCCATGGAGATCCTCAAAACCCCTGCTCAGCTGCCTTTTAGCCCTGGAGCTGCTGAAGTTTCCACCAGTAAAACCAGTGCTAAAGACTTGCTGACACTCTCTCGCTATGCTGTAACACAGCCCTGCCCAGAATAACGGTTGCACCTCGATCCTCACATCCCTGCCTTTGCCAGCAGAAGTGCATCACTTCTCAGAACTGCCCATTCCACGTCCTTCAGTGAATCCCATTTTTCTGTAACGAAGGAGAATTGGCCACCCTCTCTCTTGCCCTGCATTGGGCTGGTGGAGGGAAATAGGTCTCCAGAAGGGTTTGAATGTAAGGAATTTGGCAGGCGTGTCAGGCGTACACAAGGTTTGGGTAAGAAGTCACATTGTTGGAGGGGGGTTGTCTAGACTGAAGCTTCTGGGGTTACCTGCTCACTAAACAGAGCAGAAAAGTCTTGACATGCACGAAACAGCTCTATATGGGGCCAAACGAAAGAACATCCGTTTAAACTCTTAACAAGGAGGGGAAATTAAACAGCAGGAGTGGAGAGATTCATTTTGTCCATCTGCCCTTGTCTGCTGGCACATTGAACTATTTCTCAATGAAGGTGCCATCATCTGTGTTTCTCTTTCTGCAGAAATTACCGACCTGATAGTGAATCAAAGCCCAACCAATTTCAGTGATTTAGAAGGCTCAGAACTTACCATGAATTGTACATTCAAGACAGTCAACCACAGCACCATGTATGTGCGATGGTATAACTATGGGACTGAGGGAGTAAAGAAAGAGCTGGTGAATGAGAGCGATGTGATCACAACCCTGCATTTGGACAATGGGTTTGCCTCTCTCACTTTGAAGAATGTGAATTTATCGAATACAGGAACCTACATGTGTGAGGTGGGGATCACAGCAAGGAACCTCTCTGGGAATGGAACAGGAACCCAAGTGACCATCAGTAAGTGCCAGAATTTCCTACCTGATCTTTTTGGGAAAATGGGGGCGAGCAAGTGAGAACAAGAGCACACATCTCCTTGAAGGTGTTGAGTGTCTTCAGTTCCACCTTCAGTGGGAGCTGAGGGTGCTCCACGCCTGCCCAGAAGCACTAAACTCCTTGCAAGATAGAGCCCTGTAGGCCAGTATTAAGGGGGAACAATGTTTCCATTTAGGTCCTTTACAGCCAAATGTTTCACATGGCCTCAAATTAGTCTCTAAACGTATGCTTGCCAATGTTGCATGCACACCCATTGGTAGATTCAAAGCCTGTCTGCATGTCCAGACAGAACATTCGGGGGGATGGAGGGGAGGTGCGGGGATGGTTTGCTGGTCTTGCCAGGCATCATAAAGCTATGAGTGGAACTAAGTGAAAGCATCACTTTAACCTCTGATAAGCAGGGGATGTTAAATGGCCAGGCTGGGAAAAGAACACAAAATACTGGATGGGGAGACATTTATTTTAATATATCCCCAGTCACCAGCCATTGCTCCTGAAATTCTCCTGAATCAAGGTGCAATCGTCTGTTTCTCTCCTGCAGATTTTCCTGAGCTGATGGTGAATCAGACCCCAGCCAATATCCATGTGTCAGAAGGGTCAGATCTCACCATGGAGTGTAGATTCACGGTATGGAATAAACACAAGACCTTGTATGTGAAATGGTATAAACATAATGGAACTGGGGGAACGAAGAAGGAGCTGATGAGCGAAAGAGGCAGGGGCCCAGCAGCCCTGGATTTGGAAGAGGGTTTTGCTTCGTTCACTCTGAAGAACGTGAATGTAACCGATACAGGAACCTACATGTGTGAGGTGGGGAGCACAGCGAGGAACTGGTCTGCGTCAGGAGCCGGAACCCAAGTGACCATCACTAGTAAGTATCAGTATTTTCCTATCTGATCTTCCTGCTGTGAGAGACAGCGAATGGCAGCCTAAAGGACAAAGAATGAATGACTGTTGCTGGCAAAAGTGGGTATGAATTCTCAGGTGTGTACAGTATATAACCCATAAAAATATGGGCTCCAGCGTGTGAGGAGCTGAAGATAACATAGTTCAAAATACCTAAGTGATTTAGGGGCCGCCAATTTTCAGAGGGGACTTAAGCACTCGCGGGGCAGATTTTTAAAGGCGTTTAGGCACCAAAAGTTGTAGGTGGGCTTTTCAAAAGTATATCAGTACCTAACTCCCATTGAAATCAGTAACTTTTGCCAACAGGACTTAGGCTCCTAAGTCACGTAGGTACTTTTGAAAATTCCCCCCAAATGCCCCTGGAGAGGGGTGTTCAGAACCTCCCAGGACTCAGCCTGTCATAAGAACATTAAGGAGGGTGATGAACCTAACTCACCACTGCACTGGATGGGATAAGAAGCAACCCCCAATGTCCATCTGCACCTGGAGCTAAACCGATCTTATGGCTAAAGAGTTGCTTCTTGTTCTGTGAGAACATCTTCATCCATGCATAGAACGCATCCCTGTATGGAAAGTATGTAGAAAAGCTGGAAAGGATCCAGAAGTGAGCGACAAAGATGATCAAAGGGATGGAATGCAGCCATATGAGCAACGGCTGGGTATGTGTAGTTTGGAAAAGAGAAGATTAAGGCGGGGGACATGATAGTGGTCTTCAAATCCTTGAACGGCTGCCACAAGAAAGATGGAGAAAAGTTTTTCTCTCTTGCCACAGAGGGCAGGACAAGAGGCAATGGGTTCAAACTACAGCACAGCAGATTTAGATTCAATCTCAGGAAAAACTTCCTAACTGTGAGAATGGCACAGACGCCTCGGGAGGTTGTGGAAGCTCCTTCACTGGAGGTTTTCAAAAGGAGGCTGTAGAGCATCTGTCTTGGATGGTTCTCAAACTGTGGGACAAGACCCTAAAGTGGGTCACAACCCCATTTTAATGGGGTCGCTTGGGCTGGCTAAGACTTGCTGGGGCCTGGGGCCAAAGCCAAAGCCGAAGCCCCACCGCCAGGGGCCAAAACCCGAGGGCTTCAGCCCTGGGCAGTGGGGCTCAGGTTATGGGCCCTCTGCCTGGGTCTGAAGCCCTTGGGCTTTGCCCCTCCTCCCCCACCTGGGCCAGTGGGGCTTGGGCAGGCTCAGGCTTCGATCCCCCCTCCTGGGGTCGTGTAGTAATTTTTATTGTCAGAAGTTGCAGTGTTATCTCAGAGATAGGCGGTGTGTAAATTATGGAGTGTTGTTGTAGCCGTGTGGGTCCCTGGATATTAGAGAGACAAGGTGGGTGAGTATGAGGGGGTGTACCAGGCCCCATAAAAGGAGCAGCGAAGGTGGGTCCTCCAGACCTGCCTAGAAAGGCTGCAGGGTAGCAGCCAATCAGAGCACAGCAGGCTCAGTTAAAAGGAACTGCTGGGCCTGAGCAGGTCAGTTCCTGGCAGGGACCAGAGGAGTAAGGAAGGGTGCTCCTTGACGAAGCTCAAGGGAGAACAGAAGGTGGGTTCTGGTGGTATTGGCATGTGGTAAGGAAAAAGAGGAGTTAAGAAGTTCAGCCCTGAGATGAGGGTGAAGAGGAAGGGACTACATGGGAAGCAGCCCAGGGAACAACAGCAGCAACTATGACAGGAAGCAGCACGTGGCTGTTATTTGTAGAGTCCCTGGTTTGGGACCCGGAGTAGTGGGTGGGCCTGGGTCAGGGTGGCCAAAGCCCTGAGAAGGGGAGACGTTTGTTTAGATGCCCAAGCACAGGGCTGGAATTTAAAGGGCTGAAGACCCCTCAGAGGGCCATTTGCTGGACTTTGTTACCCCAGAAGGGGACTGAACTTGCAGGCGTGACCTAGCTGGAGAGTTGGGGCAATAAGAACTGATAAGGCAAAAAGTCTCCAGGGAGAGTCCTGGGGGCACCGCTCTATACCAGAGCAGGCGCTCCTAGTTCCAGCCCCTATCCTGTGCCAACGAGCGGTGTTAGCTCTGTCGGCAGGAGAAGCTCTCCTGCGGACATGGTGTTGTCCACACTAACACGTTTGCTGGTAAAACTTTTGTCAGTCATGAAAAAACCACCCCCCTGACTGACATAAGCTTCACCAGCAAAAGTGGTAATGTAGACAAAGGCTAAGTTTCCCAAAGCTGAAGAAGAAGAGCTCTGAGTAAGTTCGAAACCTTGTCTCTCTCAAGTTGTCTCAATAAAAGATGTTACCTCACCCACCTTATGGGTAAGTAGTGGCATTTGAATGGTGAACATGAGAAACCAGCTTATTCTATTACTGTCTATTCAGAATTCTCATGTTACTAGAATATTAAATTTTCTGGCTTCTCCGCTGCCACTGTTGAACAGACCCATAATCTACCTAGTAATTTTGTCATTGTGGTGTTGGGGGAATTCCTGACTCCAGCTCTGTTGAAGCATTTCTGAATATTTGCAATTGGCCTTCATAAATAAGGCTGTATAGATGTCGTGGGCTTGGCATGCTGCCCTATTACTCTTATAAGTCTGCATATATCAGGGCTTCTTCTGCATTGGGTTGCTATTGACTAACCAATGTCTCCTCTGGAGGAATTGCCAACCCTGCAGCTCCTTAAAGGTCTTAAAATGATCATGGGGGCGGGGGGAGGAACTTGGGATGGGAATAGAGGACTCTTCTCTATCCCCTGCTTCCCCATCATTGATTTGACTCTGTCAAGGCTCCTTCCCCACTCTGAACTTTAGGGTACAGATGTGGGGGCCTGCATGAAAACTTCTAAGCTTAACTACCAGCTTAGATCTGGTCTGCTGCCACCACTCCCAATGTGCTAATTCCCTTCCCTGGGTAGCCTTGAGAGACTCTTCACCAATTCCCTGGTGAATACAGATCCAAACCCCTTGGATCTTAAAATAAGGAGAAATTAACCATCCCCCCTCCTCTCTCCCACCAACTCCTGGTGGATCAAGATCCAACCCCCTTGGATCTAAAAACAAGGAAAAATCAATCAGGTTCTTAAAAAGAAGGCTTTTAATTAAAGAAAAAGGTAAAAATCATCTCTGTAAAATCAGGATGGAAAATAACTTTACAAGGTAATCAAACTTAAAGAGCCCAGAGGACTCCCCGCTCTAGCCTTAGGTTCAAAGTTACAGCAAACAGAGGTAAACACCCTAGTAAACGGTACATTTACAAGTTGAGAAAACAAAGATAAAACTACCACACCTTGCCTGGCTGTACTTACAAGTTTGAAATATGAGAGACTTGTTCAGAAAGATTTGGAAAGCCTGGATTGATGTCTGGTCCCTCTTAGTCCCAAGAGCGAACTCTCCCCAAAAACAAAGAGCACAAACAAAAGCCTTCCCCCCACCAAGATTTGAAAGTATCTTGTCCCCTTATTGGTCCTTTGGGTCAGGTGTCCACCAGGTTACTTGAGCTTCTTAGCCCTTTACAGGTAAAAGGATTTTGGAGTCTCTGGCCAGGAGGGATTTTATAGTATTGTATACAGGAGGGCTGTTACCCTTCCCTTTATAGTTATGACAGACTCCAATTAGCAGGGCTGGATTGCCCAAGAGTATTGTCTCTTCATATGTCAATGGACGACATTTTAGTCTGGCTGCTAGATTCTTTGGGTAGCATCAATTTCCAGTGATCGTTCCTGTGACTATCTGGGATACATGGACCTTAATCACCACAGTAGAGCGGGGGTCCCTGTTCTATGTGGCTCCATAATGAGGCATTATGAGCTATGTCTACGAACCATTGGGGCCGTCTTAAGAGGAAGAATGTATTACAAAGCCTAATACAATCCTTCTTTGCTTGCAGGAAGGTATTGTTTTTCCATGGATATCAGAGCTCCATGTTTAAACGTGAGGTCTAATTTTTTTTTTAAGTAAAGAGCATGAACAGGAAGGGATGGGGCCAGAGGGACATTGGCAGATCTTCCCCTTCGTTCTGATCTCTTGATGCTGTAGGAAGCAAGGCATCAGGATTTATTTTGATCACGTGAGTCAGTAGCTGAGAGGACAAGCTTCCCTCTGCCCCAAATCAAAACAAAACTTAGATCCATAACCAGAAATGGGAAGAATTTCCAGCGTAGTGCAGTTTGTTTTGGATGATGGTGAGTAAATTGGGTTGAAATAGCAGGACCAGAGCATTCGAGAACATTTCAATGAATGTCCTACACTGGCAAGCCCTGCTTGCAAATAGTGTCCTTCCCATCAGATCCGTGAGCCAAATCCTCAGCTGATACCAAGGGAGTGATGCTGATTTACACCAGCATAGGCTCTGGTTCTGGAACTTCACAACTGGGATAGGAAGAAACCCTGAATGAGGCTGTCACGGAGAGTTTCTGAAAATTACCCCCACCCCAAGTACGAGGGCTGTAGCAAGAACTCCTCCCGAGCCTCTGAGTGTGGAAAAAAGAACCTATTTTCTACAAATACCTGTAATTCTAGCCAGACCGAAACACAAGGCACCCAAGAATCTCCACATCCTTCTTGAATAAAGAGGAACCAAAAGCAAACAAATAAGAACAAATTACTGGCAGAGCCCTGCAGAAACACCCTCCACCCACAGTAGCAATCTTGCTTCCTCCCATTGGAGATCTTGCCCAGTCATCTTTATCCATGACATTTAATATATATACATACACCAGTCAACTGAAATGTTCCTGCACCAAGGCACAGTCACTTGTGCTTCTCTCTCTGCAGCTGTTGACCTGCTGGAGAATCAGACGCTTGCTGTAATAAATGGATCGGTAGGAGAAAAGCTCACTATAGAGTGTAGATTCAAGGTGGTGAAAGACTCCAGCACCACGTACAGTGTTACATGGTATAAGAAGGGGGCTGATGGACACGAGAAAGAGCTGAAGAACGGAACAGGCATTGTCACAACAGCTCTAGATTCCTCAAAGGGCCTGGCCTCTCTCACCTTGATCAAAATCAATAGGAACGACTCCGGGCTCTACAGATGTGACTTTGGTATAAATGGTGGTGGAAATGGAACCAGAGTGACCATCCATGGTAAATAGCAGCATTGTCCTCTCAGATCTTCACTGTATTTCCTAGGGAAGAATAAGGACTAGGAAAGGAAGAGCTAATGCTAATACTTTGCATGGGGTGATATTGATGGGACAGGAGTTGCTGGCAAACAGAAGAAGAAGGCAAAGCTATGGAGAGATTTGCAGTGAGAAGTCAGTGATTCCCGGTGGCTTTCCAGATCCTGCCCATTTTTTTTTTTGTCATCCAAGTACTTGCAACCCCCCATCTTCCTGATGTCCCTCGCACAGCAGCACACATTGCTGCCCACCAGAATTCTCGGAGCCACTGGGTGATGGGTGAATCACAAAGGGTTCGGAGGTTCGGAGAAGCACCTCCAGGTTCAGAAGCTCTTCTCGCCCGTATTGAACAGTCAGTTTCACCATGACAGGCTCTCGCATAAGAAGATTTCCAGTATTTCCCAATTTTGAGTGGGATGGAAATGCCTTTCGGTATATTGCTGATTCTGCTTTCAGTCTTGGACAAAAACAAGACGTGTCTAGAGGACAGCCCTAAAAACCCACTCACGGCAGCACCACTATTGTAAGCTGCAGTGTTTTGGACCATAACTGCAGAATACTGTCTTTTTTTTAAACGAGGGAAATCTTGTTGAACCTCAGCACAGATTCCAGTTTGATTCTGGGTGAGGGTGTAAGCTACTCCTTACTCTATCCTAACTGATTAGCCCATTGCAAATACCATCTTCTGAGAAATGAATCCACCAGGTTGGTGTTGGTTATTCTTCCAGTAGTGGTGGAGCAGCGACCCAGTTTGCCTTTTCTCCTTCGACTATTCTGCCGCGGGACTCCTCGGGTGGTGGTGGTGGTCTAGTGACCTAGCTCACAGCATCTGCCCCTGCCCCTATCCAGCGGGACTCCTGTAGAGGTGGTAACGCATGACCCAAACTATGTTGTCTTTCCCTAGAACTAGAGGTGATGGGAGTGTAATAACTCAATTTCCCCTGCCTCTGTAGCCCCCATCTAGTAGGACAGCAGCTAATTAATGTTTCTTTCAACAGCACATGACCAAAGGGTAATGAGCTCTTACATTGTTCCTGGAGCTGTGGCTGGGACACTTCTCTTCTTGCTGGTGCTCGGTATCCTTTTGTGGAGATGGAGACAGTGCTCCAAAGGTAAGATTTACTTGGACAATAAATGTAAGCAATTTCTGCATGAGGGGAGCTCATAGGATAACATAAGAACATAAGAATGGCCGTACCGGGTCAGACCAAAGGTCCATCTAGCCCAGTATCCTGTCTACCGACAGTGGCCAATGCAAAGAGCCCCAGAGGGAGTGGACCAACAGGCAATGATCAAGTGATCTCTCTCCTGCCATCCAATCTCCATCCTCTGACAAACAGAGGCTAGGAACACCATTCCTTACCCATCCTGGCTAATAGCCATTAATGGACTTACCACCATGAATTTATCCAGTTCTCTTTTAAACACTGTTATAGTCCTAGCCTTCACAACCTCCTCAGGTAAGGAGTTCCACAAGTTGACTGTGCGCGGCGTGAAGAAGAACTTCCTTATATTTGTTTTAAACCTGCTGTCTATTAATTTCATTTGGTGACCCCTAGTTCTTGTATTATGGGAATAAGTAAATAACTTTTCCTTATCTACTTTCTCCACATCACTCATGATTTTATATACCTCTATCATATCCCCCCTTAGTATCCTCTTTTCCAAGCTGAAGAGTCCTAGCCTCTTTAATCTCTCCTCATATGGGACCCGTTCCAAACCCCTAATCATTTTAGTTGCCCTTTTCTGAACCTTTTCTAGTGCCAGTATATCTTTTTTGAGATGAGGAGACCACATCTGTACGCAGTATTTGAGATGTGGGCGTACCATTGATTTATATAAGGGCAATAATATATTCTCAGTCTTATCCTCTATCCCCTTTTTAATGATCCCTAACATCCTGTTTGCTTTTTTGACTGCCTCTGCACACTGCGCGGACATCTTCAGAGAACTATCCACGATGACTCCAAGATCTTTTTCCTGACTTGTTGTAGCTAAATTAGCCCCCATCATAGTGTATGTATAGTTGGGGTTATTTTTTCCAATGTGCGTTACTTTACATTTATCCACATTAAATTTCATTTGCCATTTTGTTGCCCAATCACTTAGTTTTGTGAGATCTTTTTGAAGTTCATCACAGTCTGCTTTGGTCTTAACTATCTTGAGCAGTTTAGTATCATCTGCAAACTTTGCCACCTCACTGTTTACCCCTTTCTCCAGATCATTTATAAATAAATTGAATAGGATTGGTCCGAGGACTGACCCTTGGGGAACGCCACTAGTTACCCCTCTCCATTCTGAGAATTTACCATTAATTCCTACCCTTTGTTCCCGGTCTTTTAACCAGTTCTCAATCCATGAAAGGATCTTCCCTTTTATCCCATGACAACTTACTTTACTTAAGAGCCTTTGGTGAGGGACCTTGTCAAAGGCTTTCTGGAAATCTAAGTACACTATGTCCACTGGATCCCCCTTGTCCACATGTTTGTTGACCCCTTCAAAGAACTCTAATAGATTAGTAAAACACGATTTCCCTTTACAGAAACCATGTTGACTATTGCTCAACAGTTTGTTTTTCTATGTGTCTGACAATTTTATTCTTAACTATTGTTTCGACTAATTTGCCCGGTACCGGGCAAATGGCGATAGATGCCGATAGATTCTTCTTCGTGTCCTTCCTTTAGCTGAATAAAGAGTAATTTGGGGAATTTTTGCCAGTGAACGTACAGCAGCAGTGGTGAACTGGCAGCCCTAGTCAGTGAAGTCTCATATCTAAGCACATATACCGCCTGGGCAATGGTAGGACTATTCTATGTCTCCTCCCTGGCCTGAGGAAGCACCTCAAGGTGTGAAAGGTGGATTCAGTCTCCACGTCTATTCCATCTTTGGCTGGATTGCCAACAAAGCCACCAATTATTGGCAATTGCTTGGGTGGGAACGTGTGGGATGTAGATACTGCTCCACTATGAACTAACTAGACTGACAACTAACTCCTTCATTTAGGTGACCCAAAGGTCATCAGAGAATAACCAGCTTTGTCACAACTTCATTTTTTTTCCAGAACCACTTCAAAGCAGGTCAGAGGCAGAGATGAATCAGATGGAGACGGTGAGTTGGAGAGTTTATCATAAGAGCCGCATTTAATTTTTCTCTCTAGCATAAGGGAACTGGGTGTTGAGCGTCAACTCCAGGAATACAAGGTAATAAAGAAATCGGTTCTGCTTTTACAGACTGTAGCTCCAAGAACTTCAGAGTAACAGAAAATGCAGCACTAGTCCTGAATAGGATCGGGGTGGTACGACATTTAAAAAGTTAGAGGGGAATCAAGAATTAATTAGCCTTAGATCAAAGATAAAGAGGACATAAATTAGTGATTGCACAGGATCTTCAGTGATAATAGAGAATGCAGCATTGGTTCTAGGCAGTGGGACTGGGAAGTTCAAGACGGGGAATCTTGTGCAGCTCCAGAAACCTCAAAATACTGGAGAATGCAGCATTTGTTCCATGAACTTTAGAGGTATTTCATACTCAGAATACAGCTTCCTAAAAAGTCAGCACACTCTTTTACAGTGCCTGTGTCAGTGGAAGATGGTCTAGCATTATAATAGTATGATATGGGCATGAAAGGAACGAGCAGTCTTCACTCATTTTCCTCTTGCTTTGCAGTCTTCTCCTCCAGCTGATGATGTGACTTACGTTGACTTGAACGTCCACAAAAGGGACGCAAAAGCGGAGGAAGAGGTTGTTTACACGGAAGTGAAGATACAGCCAAAACAGAGAGATGACAATAACATCTATGCAAAAGTCAACCCTCGTCATCGCTAGGGGAAGAGCGAGTGGGAATTAACAGAGGGATGACCAGCATTTCACATGTCCGTTAAATGCAAGTCTCCATGGAACAACAAATTAGCTCTTAGTAAAAGATGTCCTTTGAGATCAAAGTCCACTAGTTATGAACAGAGCAGGTAGCAGTGCAAGATTCCCTCGTTTCCTGCTCCACCAACATGCCTCAACTCTGATCTGGAGAGACCAATTCTGTGGGCAAACGGAGAGTTCTGCTAACCCATCTACTCTTGGCCTATGTGCTGTGATTGCAGCCAGGAAACGGGTTGTGCTGTGGACAGTGGTTCACTAGGAACTGAGTCGAGACCAGAAATTCATTTAACAAACTCACCACCCATCAGATTGTAGCAACTTTTAGTTGCTATTTACCAGCACTGTATTTGAACAAGTGACCAAGAATCAAGCCCTTGAGCCACCCAAGTATGGAAAATGTTGCCATCTTGTTGTGGGAAGCACTGTCCTCCACTGAAGATGCCAACTGTGCTGAATCAGAAAACTGAAGGATGTACAATAATGCTAATAAGGCTCAAGAGCGATTTCCCATACGTTCATGAATGACACTGACATGATTGTTTAATCTTTCTAAGCACAAAGTAGGCTTCTCTGTTGGGAGTGATTTAAGCTTTCCTGGATTCCACCTACTTAAGAGCCAAACAACAACAATATGAATTGCTTCGCTAACAGATTTTAAATATTAACTAAAGCTTTTACAGCAAGTTTAGGCCAGGATTAAGTGTGTGCAATTGCACTGATTGAAATGGAGTTGTACCTACTTACACCTGGAATGGATTTGTCCCCTTGTGTCTGCGTGGCTTTATTGTAAATTTAAAAAAAAATGTGTAATTTTTTAAAAAAGCATCATTTCTAGTGGTATAAGTAGATTGTGCTTTTGAAAATATCCCCAATAATTTTAGATGCCCCACAGAAAAAATAACCCAAAGGGGCTGTTGGGCTCCCCAAAATGGAGAGACTCAAAGGCATTCCTGTTGATTTTTTTGCAAGTCTCCCCATAATGCATTGATTTTTATGACTACTGCAGATGCATGAGATATAACCTGTGCAGATAGAATCATAGAATATCAGGGTTGGAAGAGACCTCAGGAGGTATCTAGTCCAACCCCCTTCTCAAAGCAGGACCTACACCAACTAAGTCATCCCAGCCAGGGATTTGTCAAGCCGGGCCTTAAAAACCTCTAAGGATGGAGATTCCACCACCTCTCTAGATAACCCATTCCAGTGCTTCACCACCCTCCTAGTGAAATAGTATTTCCTAATATCTAACCTAGACCTCCCCCACTGCACTTGAGACCATTGCTTCTTGTTCTGTCATCTGCCACCACTGAGAACAGCCGAGCTCCATCCTCTTTGGAACCCCCCCTTCGGGTAGTTGAAGGCTGCTATCAAATCCCCCCTCACGCTTTGTCATAAACATAGAGATACGGGTAACATAGAATCCCTCCTGGGAAGCTGTTCTAAATCACTTTACCTGTAAGGGGTTAAGAAGCTCAAATAACCTTGTTGGCACCTGACCAAAAGGACCAATAAGAAAAGAAGATACTTTCAAATCTGTGGGGGGAGATTTTGTTTGGGCTCTTTGTTTGTTCCCTCTCCGGATGGAGAGAGAGACCAGATAGGAACAACATCTCCTGAAAACATACCTGAATTGATTCATCTAAGATTAAAAAAAATTGTAAGTAAGGCAAGGAAATGCGTTAGATTATCTTTTGTTTTAGCTTGTGAATTTTCCCTATGCTAAGAAGTAATTTCATTCCTGTTTTGTAACTGGGAAGCAGAGTCAGAGGGGACTCCTCTGTGTTTTAAATCTTTTTATTTACCCTGTAAAGTTACCTTCCATCCTGATTTTGCAGGTGTGATTCTTTTACTTTTTTCTTTATAATAAAGTTCTTCTTTTAAGGACCTGATTGATTTTAGTGTCCTAAAGATAAAGGGTCTGGTCTGTACTTACATTAAAGACAATTGGTTGGTATATTATTCTCAAGCCTCCCCAGGAAAGGGGGTGAAGGTGCTTGGGGGATGTTTTGGGGGGATAGGGATCCAAGTGACCCTTCCCTGAATTTTTGTCTAAATCACTTGGTGGTGGCAGCAATACCGTCCCAGGACAAGAAAGGGAATTTGTGCCTTGGGGAAGTTTTTAACCTAAGCTGCTAGAAATAAGCTTAGGGGGTCTTTCATGCAGGTCCCCACATCTGTACCCCAGAGTTCGGAATGAGGAGGTAACCCTGACACTCTTCTCTTCTGCAGACTAAATAACCCCAGTTCCCTCAGCCTCTCCTCGTAAGTCATGTGCTCCAGCCCCCTAATTATTTTCATTGCCCTCTGCTGGACTATCTCCAATTTGTCCACATCCTTTCTGTAGTGGGGGGACCAAAACTGGATGCAATATTCCAGGTGTGGCCTCACCAGTGCCGAATAGAGGGGAATAATCACTTCCTTGATCTGCTGGTAAAGCTCCTACTAATGCAGCCCAATATGCCGTTGGCCTTCTTGGCTACAAGGGCACACTGCTGAGTCATATCCAGCTTCTCATCAACTGTAATCCCCAGGTCATTTTCTGCAGAACTGCTGCTTAGCCAGTCGGTGCCCAGCCTGGTGCATGGGATTCTTCCTTCCTAAGTGCAGGACTCTGCACTTGTTCTTGTTGAACCTCATCAAATTTCTTTTGGCCCATCCTCCGATTTGTCTAGGTCACTCTGGACCCTATCCCTACTCTCCAGCGTATCTACCTCTCCCCCCAGTTTAGTGTCATCTGCGAACTTGCTGAGGGTGCAATTAATCCCATCATCCAGATCATTAATAAAGATGTTGAACAAAACCATCCCCAGGACCGACCCTTGGGGCACTCCGCTTTATACCGGCTGCCAACTAGACATCGAGCCATTGATCACTACCTGGTGAGCCTGACAACCTAGCCAGCTTTCTATCCACCTTATAGTCCATTCCTCCAATGCATACTTTAACTTGCTGGCAAGAATACTGTGGGAGACCATATCAAAGCTTTGCTAAAGTCAAGATATATCACATCCACTGCTTTCTCCATATCCACAGAGCCAGTTATCTCATCATAGAAGGCAATCAGGTTGGTCAGGCATGACTTGTCCTTGGTGAATCCATGTTGACTGTTCTTGATCACCTTCCTCTCCTTCAAGTGCTTCACAACTCATGAATCACAACTCTTGGGTGGCCATAAGGATACAACCAGAAGAGACAGCACAGCAATCATGTGAACACCTGCAAAATGTTCGGCTTATTATTAATACCTGCATCAATTCATTATTAACTAATACATGGAATCAGCCATTTTCAAGACTGAGCTCCCAAAAGAAAAGACAGCTATCGAATTGCATTGTGGTTGCACCAATACTGGGTTTGGTCCCCTTACGTGGGATCGGTCTTTAGCCACATCAGTTTAATTAATGCAAACGATGGGTTATTCAGTGGTAACTGTTGTTCATTGGGTATATGGCCTCTGCAGATCCACCCAGGGCAAATCTGCAGAGGCAGTCCTTCCAGAAGAAGAATTGGGTGACTAAATACCCACCACGAACACCACATATGCTGGAGTCATTAAGGTTTTCACCCATTTACACCAAGACCGTATATGTGCCTTACAATATAGATAAGAATGGCCATACTGGGTCAGATCAATGGTTCATCTAGCCCAATATCCTGTCTTTGACCAGTGCCAGATGCTTCAGAGGGAAAGAACAGTACAGGGCAATTTCAGGTGATCTATCCCCTGTTGTCTAGTAACTCCTATGTGTAGGGGTAGCCAGGGGTCTCCGCACGCTGCACCAGCCCCAAGCGCTGCCCCCTGGAGCTTCCATTGGCTGGGAGCTGCGGCCAATGGGAGCTGCAAGGGCGGCCCCTGTGGATGGGGCAGCATGCAGAGCTGCCTGGCCACCGCCACGTCTCTGCATAGGAGCCGGAGGGGGGACATGCTGCTGCTTCCAGGAGCTGCTTGAGGTAAGCGCTCCCCGGAGCCTGCATCCCACACTCCCTGCGCCCCAACCCTCTGCCCCAGCCCTGAACCCCCTCCTGCCCTCCAAACCCCTCGATCCTAGCCCAGAGCACTCTCCTGCACCCCAAACCCCTCATCCCCAGTCCCACTGCAGAGCCTGCACCCCCAACCACAGCCCTCAACCCCCCCGCACCCCAGCCCCTTGCCCCAGCCCTGATCTCCCTCCCACCCTCCGAACTCCTCAGTCCCAGCCCAGAGCATCCCCCATACCCCAACCCCCAATTTTGTGAGCATTCATGGCCCGCCGTACAGTTTCTATACCCAGATGTGGTCCTCAGG